TTCCAGAGACAATAAACATCAGTTTTTCTTTCTCTTTTAATCTTGCAAGAGCATCCTGAGTAATGTCTCTACTTTCTGCCGCAAGCTCATATTGCATCAGCCCTGCTGCACTTTGCTTAATATAGATATTAAATATTCCTACGGTTTTTGGGATCTGGGTGGTTTTTATCCAAATCTGCACATGGGTTACGGTTTTCACCTCTTTTAATTGATTTTAATGGTGTTGTTTTTACTTGGCAAGTTGTTTAACATGCTTTTAGTCGGGTGAAATGATACTCTTTAAATTGGTCAGTTTGATTTTATTGTGCACTGAAGGTTGTATGATACAGAGTGTATGACATGTATAAGAGGCAGTGTGGTGTAGTGATTTGAGCACTGAAGAGTTTGAATCCCTGCTCAGCCATGGAATCCCACTGTGTGATCTGAACTCCTTCGATTTGTGTGTGGCGGCTATGTTTCAAGGGATTTGAACATAAGATTATGGATATGAACTCTCAAGTTTGTCTACATGATTAAAATACTCCTCAGTCCATTTGAACAGTCCCGTCACATGCGATTCGGAGGAGTTTGGGCTTTTTGCCCTGGGTGGGGAACTCCACAAACACTGCAGAAAAAAGGCTTCGCAGATTTTACAGGAGTATCCATAAGGATGTGCATTATGTGACCATCCATCTGTTTTGCATGGATTCAGATGGTGGCACATTTTCAGCAGAAGGAGGGCAAATAGATGTGAATTTGGGCAGGAAAGTGAAGACAATTAAACGTTGATGCCAGTGTGTGAAAATCCATAGCAATCCACAAAGAGCATATTTTTAGTATTTTACCATTCTATAGTGTGGTGTTTTATCGTTTGTTTTTATTGTATATGTCCTGCTGTACTGCCTTTGGTGGAAAGGGTGTTATAAATAAACATTGTTGTTGTTGTTCTTGTACACTTATGGATAGACTAGCCCTCTCTCAGCCTAAAGGAGGAAGGGAGTCCCAAACGTCCTCTGAGAAATTCTTGCCAAAATGACCCTAGATGTGGATTGGTACAAATCAGGCACCTAATGAGATTAAATATAGTAATAAATAAATAAATAAATAAATAAATAATTTATTTATTAATTTGGGACATGGAGAACAGATGAACTGAACTTGCCCTCTCCAAGCCCAGACACTATATGAAAAATTGGGGAGGAGGTTCAGGATTTAGTGCAAGTGACAAAATGGGAAAGATTTAGCACACCAATCTATACTACTTTAGAGTTAGGATGCTTCTGCTGGCTTGCCCAGTGTTATGACAAGAGAGGAGCATCCTTGGCCTTCCAGGTACTTTGAGCTTCAGCACCCAGAATCCCCTCCCAACAGAGCCAAGGGTAGAGGATTATGGGATCTGTAGTCCAGAACATCTGGGGGACAAAAATCCCCAACTCCTGCATCAGAGCTTTAAATCAACTGGAGAGGGCATGTGTGGGATACAGTTTTCTAAGTACCAAATCAAATTAATCAGGACAAAGCAAGTGAAGCAGTAATTTCCAATTTATTATTTACAATCTTGCAAGAAGGGGTGTCCTAGGCGAGTAGGCACACTTCCACACTTGACACAGCACGGTTTTATTCCATTTTTCCTGGCAGTATTTTTCCACCCGATAACATTATTGGCTAGTTAAGGCATATGATCAATTTTAAGGCCACCTTTTTCATGTATGTAAAAGCTCAGCCCACAACATATCTGTTCATACATCTCATGACCATTTCAATTAGGGATAATTCACATATTACACATATTAATGAGGTTCATTGCGCAGACTCTGTTCGGGCCTTTCTTTGGGACCCCTTAGAAAAAAATGCTGTCCTTGAAATTAATGAGGAATTGTAACAATAACTCCTTCCATAGCTCAACTCCTATCTCAACTTTGTCCGTTAGTTTTATCTACAAGTTATTTATGTACTTTGATGCACTCATTTGATCAAAAATGGTTACAAAATTTATTTCACTGTCTGTTTTAAAACAAAGCACTTACTCTGGCATGCTTTGGTCCTGGCTTGATAAACTATTCTTACTTAAAGGTTTTTTTAAGGTTCAGAAAAATATTAAATCTATCCCATTATCCCTAACATATTTGTATTAGTAAACTTTAAAGCACTTAATAAGTGTTCAATTGTTGTTTTACCTGCCTTTCAATACTATCGATTAGCTTTTAACCCTATTTTATATGACTTTGGATTATCCTTATGTTTAATTCAAATTTATTCCTCTCAGCATGGCACAGGGAGAGAAGCTGCTTTCTGGAAGCAGATGAGTTTTTGTGCCAAATCCATCAGTCTTCTTGAAAATATTCCTGGCCTCCCCAGAATGTGCCCTGCTTGGTTTTTGTTGAGTAACCCAGCTTTGTTTTGCTGAAACTTCTTTTCTTTGCCTTTGCCTTTGCCTTATCTCTTTTCTCCATTCCTTCCATCACAGCCTTTTAAAAAGAAAAACCATAATGTGAAACATTTGTACACATCAGTGACTCTATGTCATTTTTATGGCACTGGGCAGTTGGAAGGGCCATGGGTTGCCGGTCCTTGTTGTACAATTTAATGGAGACTTCAGCTCCCATCATCCCCAGTGTTCCTGCCAGTCTGGGGAAGGCTGGTCTGAGAATGCATATCTGGTAGTAGTATACCGAATTTTTGTATAAACCTCTATCTAATCCCATATATGTTTGCTCCCACTTAATTCAGTGGGGGTTACTCCTAGGTAAATGTGTTCATAAATGTGAATATGAACCTGGGATATGAATATGGGACTATATGTGAATAGTCATAGTTGCCTTCCACTTCCTTTTTCACAATGGATACTAATACTAATAATACTAATGCTAATAATATAAAATATAATATAACATTAACGTAAAGAATATATGATCACCTTGGCGGGATTTAGTACGTATGTAAATAGGTTTAGGTTTCAAAGAGATGTACTGTAGATTATACAGAAGACTGGAGAATGGGGAAGGTATAGATAAGAAACTAGCCAACATAAGACTTACATTGTTATAGAAAGGGTGAATATAAGATTTTAATTATGTATTTGTTCGCCTGTTTTAAGAAAATAATAATAATAATAATAACAACAACAATAATCTACTTTTTCCCAAAGTTGGGACACAAAGCAGCTTATAAATTAAAAAAACAATACAATTAAAAACATACAAAAGTGGGCATTAAAATAGAATTAACCTGTCTCTCATGAATTGCTTTGGTGGTGGTGATTTTTAATGACCAGGATGAAAGGATTGCAGAAGATACAGTGTCGATTCAAGACAGAGTTTGCTAAGCAGACCTAGAGAAATCCCAAGTACCAGCCTGCTTTCCTGGTTTTCTTTTTCTTTTTAAAAAATGTTTAAATTAAGGCCAGGAGTTAGGAATTTGCCAGTAGGATTATAGCACGAATCAGATCACAGATCACTTCTGCAGACTGGTTTGCTGGGTGTAGATTTCCCGAAGCTTGCTGCCTGAAGGAGGATTCTGTGTAGCTTAAATCCTTGCTATCTTGCTAGCATCATCCTCATCAGGGGAAATGATCATTATCTTCTTTTCCTCCCTCTGTTCTTTTTCTTTGAAAGTCTTGTTTGCCTTTAAGTTATTTTAACTAATTCTACTTTTAGACATTGCTGTGTTTTGCAACCATGGCATTAACAAAGGCAGGCACCTTAGAAAGTTAGATCAGATTGTTTGGCTAACTTCCCATTCAAGTACAGGTGTGTGTGGCTTAAAGCCTGACATACACAAACACACACCTCGTTTCAAGAGTGACTTGGGATCAAGAGTCATTTCCTGGGTTCTCCCTGTGCTTTAAAAATTATTATTTTTTATTATTTTATTTATTTATATCCCTCCTTCCTCCCGGTACAGGGAATCAAGGCGGTTAAAAAGTACTGCTGCTGAACTCCGGCTGCTGCCACATTGCAGAATTAATAAATTTTCACACTGCTTTAATTGTCATGACTCCATCCTATGGACTCCTGGGATTTGTAGTTTGTTGTGGCACCAGAGCTCTCTGACAGGTCTATGTTCCATTGGGTTCTAGCATGCAGTTCCTGTTCCACAGATTGTGTTTATTCTAATCTGTGTGCTCATTGTTGAGAACCATGGGATCATCTTCAGTCGAATGTTTGCAGGGGTCTGCTCAATTAATAAAATGCAGTAAAACCAGTATTATTTATTTGAAAAGTTTGCAATAAAAATTTAAAAGACAAACTCAACTAGCTAAAAAAAAGTATAAAATTTATAAACATACAAAACGTAAAAACATAACTAGGACACACAGCCTGCAGAAAAGCGTCCCTGTGGAAAAGTGGTCAATAATTTGCTTTCTCCCCCTCCCCCCTGCCAAACTTTTAGAAATAGACATGTTTTAAACAAGTTACTGGAGACATCTGGATCTCTAATGAAACTTTTGACAGGGTGCCACCACTGTGAAGTCCCTGCCATATGTGATAGTCCTGTGACCCATGTGGTGCAGTGGTTTTTGAGCATTGTATTTGAAGACCAGGGTTCCAAAATCCAAAACATTTTTCATGGTTGGCTGAGATGGTGACACCTTTGTTTTCTGATAGTTCAATGCACACCAACTTTGTTTCATATATAAAATGATTAAAAATAGTTTTAAACTACCTTCAGACTATCTGGATAAAGTGTATATGAAACAGAAATGAGTTTCATGCTTAGTCTTGGGTCCCACCTCCAAGATAACTCATTATGTATATGCCAATATTCCAAAATCCCCAAAGAATCCAAAATCTGAAACACTTCTGGTTCCAAGCATTTCAAATAAAGGATACTCAACCTGTATTGAGGACCTAGCTTTGCACAAATAAATTGTCTTCCAAAGTGCAGAATTAAAAAAAAGTCTCCAAACTGTCTCACAACTTCCAGATGTACTTCACTCTACCTCCCATCATCCACCTACCCAGCAGGCACAAAGGCCCTGCTCACTAGGGGTAATGGGAGTTGTCCAACAAACCTTGAAGGTTGCTTTCAAGCAAAATTGCAGTTAGCATCTGAGGAACTGTTTTGCCATGAATATCCAAGTGGCCTTTAGTTTCAAATAATTTAGCTATCTCAAACACCAGTATATTGGAATGGACACTGGTGTGCCTATTCAGCACATAATTCTGTGTTTCATGTTCAAATACTTCAACCCCTCCCCTGGGAAGGGGTAAACTGTACATCCCATCTTTCAAAGAAAGAAAGAAAAAACTGGTCTCTCATGTGGCTTGTTGTTATTGTTGTTTGCCTTCAAGTCATTTCCAACTTATGGCGACCCTAAGAGCCAGTATGACTCTGGACAACAGGGTGACCTTAGTCAAGTCACATGCTCTCAGCCTCAGGGGAAGGCAATGGCAAACCTTTTCTGAACAAATCTGTATTATTATGTTATTCATTTATATCTTACGTTTCTTCCAGTAACGGGAATCAATGATGCTCACAACATATTTAAAACAATACAAGGTACAACAAAGCATTTCTTGTTGCCTTCAAATTCTGTCATGCTGTTAAATAATGAGATGTTAGAGATGGGAACCTGAGGACTTGCTATCATACTCTCAAAAGGAATAAAGAGGTAAGACAGTTGTCTTGAGGTCAGGTCAGTTTCTCTTAGCTTCTAGGTACTCTTAAGCTGCATTAAGGCCAATGACTTCCTAGAATGCCCTGTCTCCAAATTCTATAAAAAGTACTTGGCCCAGCCTTCTTCCCTCTGAAAAGACTGAATTAGGTAACCAAATAATAAACCACATGCTGGAAAATATGATGGACAATGGTATGTTTGGATTGCTGTAATTCACTCTTTGCAGGGCTCCCCTTGAAGAGGGTTTGTAAATTTCATTTGGCCCAAAAAGCTGCCGCCAGATTGTTAATATAAAACACCACTGGGTGACTCTGGACAAGTCACACTCTCTCAGCCTCAGAGGATGGCAATGGCAAACTCCCTCTGATGAAACTTGCAAAGAAAACCCTATGATAGCTTCACCTTAGGATTACCATAGATCAAAAATGACTTGGAAAGTTACAGGGAGAACTACCTGCATCTTCCCATATGAAATCATTCAAGTTCTAAGATCTTCAAGGGAGGTGTGGATACCATGGACGTCCAAAAAACAGATGAATGGGTCTGAGAGCAAATCAAACCTTAACACTCACTAAAAGCCTTCAGACATACCATGGGACTGGAAAAGATGATAATGCTCGGCAAAGTGGAAGACAGTAGGAAAATAGGGAGACTGTAATGCAGGCAGGAGAGCCAGCGTGGCATAGTGGTTTGAGTGCTGGACTACGACTCTAGAGACCAGGGTTTGATTCCCGCTCAGCCATGAAACCCACTGGGTGACCTTGGGCAAGCCACATGCTCTCAGCCTCAGGGGAAAGCAATAACAACCCCACCCTAGGCGAGAAAAACCCATGATAGGTTCGCCTTAGGGTTGCCATAGGACGTTATCACACGGGGGCAAATCTGCTGGTTAATCCACACAAATCCCAAACAGAAACTGGATTTGTGCCTCGTGTTTTCACACGACGTCGCACAGAAACTGGACAGAAAGTGGACAGAAACTGGTGTTAACCGAGATCTTTTGAAATTCGGTTGTTTTGAGGAAATGCAAATGTGAAATTAAGGTAATTTTGCATTTGCCGTAATGTGAAAAGCAAATGCGCATTTGGAAGCATTTCCCCGCATTTTCTCATGGTTCCGCGGGGTCCTCGCGGCAGCGTAAGTGTCTCCTTCCCCCTCAGCAGACGGCTAATTGAGCCGTCTTGGGGGCAGGGAAGGGGAGGGGCAGCCACACGATCGGCGCCCCAACCCCTTCCCCAGGTCGTCCTTGGAGCAGCCGGCCCTCCGCATGGCCAGCGCTCCGAGAAGGACCTCCCGCCACAGCATTTGCACACGCTGCGGCGGAGGAGTCGGCGAAGGTGTGCCGCAGCCTTTTGTGGCACACCTTCGGCAGCTTGAAGGACGGGCGGACGCGGGCCGCCCTGGGAAGTTGCGCTGCGGGGCTGAGGTATCCCCACACCTTGGCCCTGTGGCATAGCTTCGCCGCCTCTGAAAGAAGCGCTAAATTGGCGCTCCTTCACAAGTCGCTGAAGGTGCACCGCAAAAGGCTGCGGCGCACCTTCGGCGACTCTTCCGCCGCAGCGTGTGCGAACGCTGCGGCGGGAGGTTCTCCTCGGAGCGCCGGCCGTGCGGAGGGCCGGCTGCTTCAAGGACAACCTGGGGAAGGAGTGACAGCCGCGGCAAGTGACAGCTGTGGTGAGCATAGTGCGCATGTGCTAGAAGATCATTTCTAGTACATGTGTGGGATTTTCTCACTTGTGTGTGAATGTTAAATGCGGTTTCAGCGGGAGCTTCCCTTAATTGCGCAATTAAGGTAATTACGTGTGAAAACCATTTGCGGAATCAAGGTTTATTTTCAATTTATTTTCGGAATTTGTCATTTCCAGTTTATTATCGGTTTGTGGCCCACATGTGATAATGTCCATAGTCGGAAATGACTTGCAGGCACACAGTAACAACAACAACAAAGATGGTAAGGGAGGCTTATCTTGTTGTTGTGTGCCTTCAAGTTATTTCCATCTTATGGTGACCCTAAGGCAAACCTATCACAGGGTTTTCTGGGGCAGAGGGTGTGTGACTTGCACAAGATCACTCAGTGGATTTCCATGGACAAGGGGAATCGAACCCTGGTCTCCAGAGTCATAGTCGAACATTCAAGCCACTACACCATGCTGGCTCTTTCTCCCCTTTTCTACTGTGGGATAGGCTAGAGCAGAATCCCATTCTTTCCCTGCTCAAGCTCTGTTTGCATTGTTTACTGCAGATATGATGCTGCAACCCAGTATTAAAAGTCTGTGTTTCTCCAGCCCTCCTTTGTGATCCTTCCAAAGTCTATGGTGCTAAAAATACTTTCAGCAAGACAGAGAATGAGAAAGAAAATGAGAGCTGGGCAGCTGTAAAAATGCTTTGTAAAAAAAGACCTTTCTTCATCAGAGGCTTTGTTAACTGTGGCATGCATGTAAAGCATTAAATCAGCACATTAAAATGCCACATTAGAAATAATCATGCTCATGTGCCAAAGATTTGCACTTTATAAGGGACCTCTACATTCCTCTCAGCTGGATTCCAGCTCTTGGTCTTCTGAAAAAATGCTCCCTGGTTAGAGAAAGCTGACTTCCAATCTCCCCTGCAGTTTATTTTTTAGGTGGAGCAGTAATGGAATGCATTTTTTAAAAAATCTCCATGCAGTTGCTGCCAGTGTTATTCGTAAGTTCTATATCTGAACTATGGCGCAATGAGGTCTCTGGCAGCTGCCTTATTTGCTTTGTGGATGAATAAACTACTTTTGCAAGGTTAAAGCACCCCTTGGGAACATTAGGTTACCAGCAAGCTTAGAAAAGGAACATTGGGGGACTGTAGTTCCCAGACTCCCCCGGCCATTCTGGCAGTGCAGGATTCTGGAAGTTGTAGTCCCCAAAAATACTGTTTCCCAACTCTGGTCAACAGATATCATCAACTGACACGGTTGTCTCAGCTTTTTCTTTGAACGAAAGGACTGGTGATCAAGGGTTGCCAGAGTGAAACTTGGAGAGGCTCCTGTGCTTTTAATGACAGTGTAGAAGAAGGATTTTCAGAAGGTGTTGCTTGGTACCAGGTTGTGTGACAAGCAACATCTGCTAAAATCCTCTCTTTACATAACCATTAAAAGTCTGGGTGCCCTTTCCAGTTTTCAGTTTGGCAACCATATTGTAATTAGATTATGCTCTGTATCTTTGTAAAACTTTTTACATATATATTTTTTTAAAAATTCAAATGGTGTAAAACATTTAAACCAATTTAATCTGTTGCTGCTGTTTACCCTTCATTTTACTTTAGTTATTGAAATGCTTTCTATACAGTTGTCATTATTATTGGGTATGGCATGATTTATCTTGTGTAACAATCTTTTTGTACATGCAATACCCAATAAAAGCTATTTTATTTATTTATTTTTTTATTTATTTATTTATTTATTTATTTATTTATTTTAAAAGTTCCCCCATGCCTGAAGGTGATCAGAGGAGACCCTTCTCTTAGTAGAACTGGTGGGCATGTATTGCATATACCCAGGATGAGGAAAGTGCAGCCTACAAGTTACATGCATCATCAATGGTTATTTTTGTGAGGCCCCAACAACACTCTCTCCTACACAATTTTTTTTGGGGGGAAATATCCCCCAAAACTGAGTAGTGTGTATGGGAGGCAATTTTGCAATGTTTCAGACACCCCTTGGGCCATTTTAGGAAAACAGATCTGAAATAAAGGCCTCTCCTGGGGAAGCAACAGTGACATATTTGCCTCCAACCTTCATTATGGTGCAAAAAGAAATTTTGGGGAAATTTTGTTTTGGAGTGTGGTAGCTGGCAGAGTGGCCAGGGCCCTCCCAAACTCTGACAGTTGTCCACCCCAGTGTATATGAAAGGATGTATTATGGCGATGTGGCTTCCCAAGTTTGGAACTTTCTTCTTGAGGAAGTTTGACAGAGAGTGACAATGGTTACATTTTGGTACCAAGTTGAAATATTTTTAAAGCTCAAGAATTTTAATTGACTACCATGCTTCTGAATGGGAGTTGTGTAGTTTTTATTTGTATTGTGGTTAATTGTTCTGGATTTTTTTTAAAACTACTACTTTTAACTACTTTATTATTGTGCATACACTGCCTAGGAATCCATTATAGAAGAAAAGCTGGCTAGGTACTGAAGCATGCAGTGGCTTCACAACTCCAGGGTTTGCTGGATGAGACAGATTATCCAGATCCATTTCATTTTTTTCCCAGTTTATTTTAATTTACTCATTAAAATATAGACAATCCTAAATTCTGACAAACAACTAAGGACAATGCATTACATAATGAGAATACCATTCCGGACCCCTCCCAAAACATAGCGGCTCACAAATATCCGAGCCCCATTGAAAATAATAGCACACACATCCATGGTGCACGCGCCATTTTGTGCCCCTGTTTGCCACCTGTGAATGGGCAAAGGATGCGGTCTTCAAATCTTTGAAAATGGAGGGGCGACTGTACATTACACAACATAACACAACACATACATCTATGAACTAAAATTAGAATAAAACAGACTGACTTCTTGAACTCCTTCCCAGCTTGATTTCTTACAGTATTTCCATTTTCCCTCACTTGCAAATAATGGTAGAATTCTTCACCCAGATCGGACAACAGAACCCATAAAACTGTGGGGTGATATGAATGCACTCTTTAACTGTGGGGTGATATGAATGCACCCCAAAAGCTATCACAGAGAGGAGGGTGCAGATTTGTTCTCTACTGTCTTCGACGTTAGGACCAGATCTTATGGTTTGAAGTTATAGGATGGTAGATTTCAATTGAATATTAGGAGGAACTTCTTGATGTTAAGAGCTCTTTGAGAATGGACCCAATTGCCCAGAGAGGTGGTGGAGTCTCCTTCTCTGGATGTCTTCAGAATGAGGCTGGACAGCTACTAGCTGGGGATGCTCTCTAGCTGGATTTCCTCCATTGATCATAGAGCTGGACTTGATGGCCTACAGGGCCCCTTCCAGCTCTATAATTCTATGATTTCTAGGTTTGTTGCCTTTGTCTCTACTACAACACCAGGGGCCCTTTCGGAACATTTTCCCCTGTCATGCATCTCTTCAAAATGTTCTTGGTGATGCTAAAACCTGGGGTAACCATTTAATTCCTGCTATTTATTATTTGATATTTTGGTCTCCCACTGATATACAGTCAGCCCTCCATATTTGCAGGTTTAACATTTGCAGATCTGATTATTTACGAGTTTGACCGTGCCCCCTCCTGCACAGTTCAGAAAGACGTGCATGCCATCCTCATTCTCATCCTCCTGTCCTGGGCTTTTGCATGCTCCCAGCAAAGGGGAGAAAAGCCAAGCCCAGGACCAGAATAGTTTGGAAGCATGCATGTGCATGTTCCTCCTCTGTCCTGGGCTCCCCCCCACATTCGTGTTTCTTCCACTTTCGCGGGGGTCCTAGCCCCTAACCCCTGCAAATGTGGAGGGCAGACTGTATAAGAATGCAGCAACCAGCCATTTATACACTGTTATTATTCCTGTATACTTAATCAACTCTACCCCATGAGATCCAGTGTTGCATAGTGAGTTGAGTATTAGATTAGGACTCCAGGAGACCAGGGTCTAAATAACAATTTAGCCATGGATTAGAACCATAGCAGTAGAAGTGGGACATAGTGCTATAATTGTGTACCATAAAAGCACTCTGTGTTTCAAGTCATGGAATAATCTCTAAAACACAGATTTATGCTAAT